ACCGAAAAAAAAGGCAAATCGAAAAACGCGTTCGTAGTGATTATAAAACCAACAACAACAAACAAAAAAAAAACACACACAACAAATAGAAAACTAGAAAAACGCTGTAGAATAGAAGAAAAGAAGCAACAACAAAACGGAAGTGAAAAATTCGCGTTTTTTCACACAACATTTTTGCATTTTCCGCCCGTTAGAGATGATCACAATTGTATAATCACCACAAAAGGCTTCCATTGTAAGCCACTTGTCCCGTTCCGTTTCGTTCGACTGCAACCACCCAACCACCACCACCACCACCCCCCGATCGCCCCACACTGTCTGAACCGATCCGATACGGTCCGGCCTGGTCCGTAGTCCGCATGGCATTCGGGCGGTGCTTTGTCTCCCATGTATTTTGGAAATGAAATTAGAAATTGAAAATAGCTCATTGGCGAATTGGCATCATCCGTGGATATGGCTGCAAACGGTGTACGTATTTTCAATGAAAGCGACAGAGTTAAGTGATCAACAAAGAAAAGTCAGGAATGCCCTTACCCCCGCCGCCCTCCTTGTAAGACCCACCCAAAAGTTATACAACAAACAAGTGCATGGACGGACAAGGTCTAAAATTATAAAAAAAAAACAAAATATATCAACCATAAATGTTCAACCATAAGCTTTTGGTCTTGGACTTTGCCAGAGATCACACAGCCGGCACTCAGACAATCCATCAACGTAAACCAAATATGAAATAAAAAAGTTATAAAGAAAGAAAAAAATATATTGACAACTTTGCATAACTCTGAAAAACCAAGAAAAAATAAAATAAAATTATTTAAAATTATGCATGCTCTCGGTAGTAGTTGGGAGAGCAGACGAGAGTCAACAAACAAAACAAAACAGAGTCTCGAACTTAAGTGCTGCTCCGAGTGCCATTTACAAACAATGAAAAACAGATTTACAAATCTATACAACAAAAAAACAGCAGACAGAGATGATGATAGCCCAGACAACAACGGCGACTTTATCAAATGATCCAAGTTTTAATTCAAAGTGAAATGAATCATTAAGCACCATACAAAAACTACACAATGGTAGAACTTATTTTGATATCAGGGTTAAAGCAAAAAAAAACATTTGCTTGTAAACAGCTGAAGAAGTGTTCTGAGTACCATAAGCAATTTAGAGCTCTCTTAATCGACTTTCAAGCAAAGCTAAGAATGTTCTTTAAATGTGGAAAACAAAACTAGTCAAGGCTGGAAAATATATGTAGAACTTTTTTGACTTTATGGCTAATGAAAAAAACAGAGAAAAGAATAATCTTTAAATGTGCAAAAAATAAATCAAAGACTTTTAAGGTATTCAATTTATTCGTGTGTATTTCCAAGAGTAGCTCTAAAATTACTAAAAAAAAAAAATGTCCCAAACAAACGAATTTGATTCCTTTACCAAAGCTAATCTTTATGGCAAACCAAAGACATGTTTGGAATAAGTTAAATAAGTTAAATAAACTAAAAACTTAAGTTCTTTAGATCTTAAAACTTGCCCCTACTTGCCTGACTTTAAGTACCTAAACGTGTGTCTGTGTGTGTAAAACTAATTAAATTTTCAACCTTCCAAACAATTCAAAACTATCCCTCACTAATCATAGAAAAACATCTCTTCAACATAGCTTCAAATCGATTCCACCCAACCTGATGGTGCGATGGCGGAATAACAACACTGACGCCATGATCGAAGCCCAGTACCCGACAGCTGGAGAATTCGAATACATGGAGTGTGGACCGTCACCGCCGGCGGAGAGTGCACCGTCAATGTACGACAGCTTTGAGGAGCCCACAAGCGAGCTGAGCGTTCAAATCTGCAATGATACGCTCCGCATTAGTCTCATCGATCAGATGAAGAGTGCCACCGGGCGTGTGCGTCTATTCGAGGATATTGAGCAGGGAAATGTGGTGGCCGAGAGCACAAAATCGCATTTTGAGTCTGCCTCAAAGTTGGAGAAGAATCTCTGCTATTTGTGGGCTGCGTTCCTCAAGCGCTGGGACCTCATCGAAGGCCTCATGGAGGTGGGCGCTGATCTGCATTTTTGCGATCAGAATGGCATCTCCTCCATGCACTTGGCGGCGTTCAGCGGTTGCCTGGCCACGCTGGGATTGCTCGTCTCCAAGGGCATGAATGTGAATCTGCAGTCGAAGTGCTATACACCGCTGCACTGCGCGGCCTTTGGCAATGCCGCTGAGGCGGCCAAGTTCCTGATCAACAATGGGGCCGACATCACCAAGGACACCAATAAACCGAACTGCGAGGAGAGTCTCCTGCACTGCGCTGTGCGTTCGAATGCCCTCGAGTGTCTGCAGATCTTCATCAGCGAGGGAGCCGACGTGAACTCCCTCAAGCCCAATGGCACCAATGCCATCCATTTGGCCGCCGATCTGGGCAATCTGCAGTGCCTTGAGGCCCTGCTCAATGCCCCCAATGCGGATGCGAATGTCAGGATCTGCATTCGCGAGAAGGAATCAACGGCTCTACATCTCGCTGCGGATGAGGGCAACGTGGAGTGTGTGGATCTGCTGCTGGCCAAGGGCGCAGATGCCAAGCTAAAGAATCATCGAGGCTTCACGCCGCTCCATCTGGCCGCACGCACATCGAGTCTGGAGTGCGTGGAGTCCCTGCTGCGCAACGGGAATGCCGATGCCAATGCCGAGGACTTTGATCATCGCACGCCGCTGCATGCGGCGGTGGGAAAGTCAGAGAATGCCTTCGACATCATGGAGACGCTCATCCAGTGGGGTGCCAATGTCAATCACAAGGATATCTATGGCTTTACGGCTCTCCATTTGGCCGCGTTGGATGGCCTTGTGCAGTGTGTGGAGATGCTGATATACCATGGGGCGGATGTGACCACCAAATCGAAGAAGGGCACATCCGCACTGAATGTGATCACGCGGAAGACACCCTCATCGGTGGCCATGATACGCCAGAAGCTGGATGCAGCCATTACGCTGCACCATTCGCAGGTGAGTAAACCGAACAGGTGGACAGATACGAAGTTATTTAATGTGCGTTTCCCCGTCCCCCCTTTTAGGATCCTGTCAATCGTGAGGTGGAACTGGAGCTGGACTTTCGCCAATTGCTGCAGCATTGTCATCCCCGTGAGATTAGCTATCTGAATACCTTTGTGGATGAGGGCCAAAAGGAGATCTTGGAGCATCCGCTCTGCTCCTCCTTTCTGTACATCAAATGGGGCAAAATACGCAAATATTATATTGGACGCCTGATCTTCTGCTTCAGCTTTGTTCTCTTCCTAACGCTCTACGTGCTGACGGCTCTCGCCCACAACTGCTACAACGGCAGCAAGGATGACAATACGACCATTCAGGCCCAGGAATTATGCCAAAAGCAGTCCATCCTCGGGGATATGCTGCGCAACAATCCGTTTGTGATGGAAATGCAGTGGTGGGTGCTCGTGGCCATCACCATAGTGGAGATATTTCGAAAGGTTTACGGCATAACGGGCTACTCTTCGTTTCGACATTATGTGACACAAGTGGAGAACATAATGGAGTGGTTTGTGATCACCAGCGTCTTTGTCATCTCGTATATCTACACGAACAAGACGTACACCTTTCAGAATCACATTGGCGCCTTTGCGGTGCTCTTGGGCTGGACAAATCTCATGCTGATGATCGGACAGCTGCCAGTGTTCGATGTGTATGTGGCCATGTATACCAAGGTACAGGGCGAGTTTGCCAAGCTCTTTATGGCCTACTCCTGCATGCTGATTGGCTTCACCATTAGTTTTTGTGTGATCTTTCCATCGTCCTCGTCGTTTGCCAATCCATTTATGGGCTTCATTTCGGTGCTGGTCATGATGATTGGCGAACAGGATTTGTCGCTGCTAATCAACGATCCGGATGGCAAAGATCCGCCCTTTCTGCTGGAGGTCAGCGCACAGATCACCTTTGTGCTGTTTCTACTCTTTGTCACCATAATCCTGATGAACCTGCTCGTGGGCATTGCTGTGCACGATATACAGGGTCTCAAAAAGACGGCCGGACTCTCCAAGCTGGTGCGACAAACGAAGCTCATTAGCTACATCGAATCGGCGCTGTTTAATGGATATTTGCCCACCTGGTTGAGAAATCTGCTGCACTACACAGCCTTGGTGTCGCCACAGGCCTATCGCGTGGTCTTGTGCGTCAAACCGTTGAATCCCAGCGAGAAGCGGCTGCCCCGCGACATTCTAATGAAGGCCTATGAGGTGGGCAAGATGCGTAAACAATTCGGGCACACCATATCCTCGAAGAACCCAGCGGAGAACTATCTGTCCTACAAGAACAAGTACAACAACAGCACGAGTAATGGCTGCGCCTCAACGGGCTATGTGCTCGCCGGCGATAACGATCCCGATGCGGGACAATTCACAACGCTAACGACCAAAATCGATGAGAATGCGGATAGGATTGAGTTTCTCACACAGGAGATACAGGAACTGAAGCAGGCACTCATATCGCAGCAACAGCAGGCGAGCAAAGTGATTGATAAGCTGCTGATTGTCATTTCCAATCAACAGAAGCAGAATCTGCGCAAATAGTAGCTAAAAGCATTTAGTAAAAATCATACAAAATAATCGATATACATACATACACATATATATATATGTTTAGAATTGAAGTTTAAATATGTTTAAGTGTTTTACGAACCCCGGCCCCGCCCCAGAAGATTGTTGATATTATCATAGAAGAAATTTTTGATATTTGAGGCGCTTGGCGCATATACCACACACCATATACTACTACTACTATATACATACTATTATATATATATATATACAACACTATCTGTAATCTAGAGTTTAGATAAATTAGAGAGAGAGGAGGAGTGGCGTGCAGTTTTGATTTGTGGCTGGTTTTAGGCTGTGTCTTTTGTTGTTTCGATGGAGAAATCGTTTAAATCATAATTTATAATCTTAAATAAAACCATATGCTATATCTATTGTTACATCCACATGCACTCACCTGTTCCCTGCTGTTTTCATCCTCAAAGTACGAGATATCCTGCCTATTGATGCTGATCTTGCCAGTGCCTGGCATTCGCACAGTGACATCCGCACGCGCCGTCTTGCGCAGACACTCATAGGTGGTGATGTACTGACGTCCCTGCTCATCGATCTTTGGCTTTGGCACCTCCAGCTGCCTGGACTGATCCATCAGTGGCTTCAGGTAGCGCTCAATAAATGCCTTGCACTTGTACGCGTAAGGGGAGGCAATCAAACGATCCATTGAGTTGGAAAAGTTTGTGTATTCAATGTCCGCAATGCTCTCCACCAGCTGCGTCTCCAGTTGATCTTTAGGCAGCACCTGAAAGCCAGCAATTTCTCTGGCAAATAAAAGATAAATCTCATTATATAACTCTTATGCAATGAGCTCGTGACACCTACAGCTTTTGGTTTTCATCGGGCTTGATGCCACGACGCAGCATGCGCTCCTCTAGTTCGTACAATTTGTTGGTTTCCTCCACAATTTCCTGGAATTTCATTATACAAATATGAATTCTACTTAAATGAACTTAAATATTAACTTACATGTAAAAGCTGAAAGAAATTTGGCTTTCCCGTATAGAACATGCTATGAAATGGCCTGCCCGTCTCATCGAACTCTGCTGCCTTGCGGGCGGGGAAAACTTCCTCTGGTGTCTTCATGGCGGGCCTTGCTTTTGGATCGTACAAACCCGAGGGAAACAGATACGATATGGCCTCCTGCAAATGAGATTTCGTTAGTTTAAGTCCCATATCTATTAAAGACGCACTCACATTGATGTCTTCCTGGGTAAAGGTCTCGGGGTCGGCACCCATCATATTGGCCAAGTGCCGCTTGCCGATTTGGAACTCCAGGTGCTGCGTTTTCATGAACTCGTCGTGTTCGGTGGCACGTTTCAGATAGGCCTTCATGGCTTTGCTGACCTTTTGCTTTTGGATAGCTGCCGGTGAGCCGTGGACAGTCACTTCTGTGGCAAACGATGCCGCCGCCAACTGAAAAGGTTATGCAAACGTTTGCCATTATTAGAACAATCGATTTGAGCGCATGGCAAGCACTGTATCTTCACTAAATCTACTTGCCGTATGGCCTGCAGGCATGGCCGTTGCCTTGCATGCATTTTGCAGCAGATTTCTGTTAGTTTTTACTAAATTTAAACCAAAAACACGCAGGGCCATCGTTTCGGTATAAGGCGCAGCGGCAAGAGGAAGAGACAACAGCTGTTTTTGAACAGCGGCAGTGTGGGAGAACAGTAGTATAAAAAAAGTGCTGCACAGCGACGATTGAAATGAGCGTGATTTAAAATAAATAATAATTTTATTTAATTATGATTACGACAAAAAAAAAACATTTTATTTACCATTGTCCTCCTTTACAAATGCATTTATTAACTAAATTTTAAACACACAACTTCAATGCTGATATTTTTCATATATGGAAAATTGAAACATACACACAAATCAAAAAAGGAACATAAAAATGCAATGAATAACCCTTTTTCAACAGCTAATTAGAATTACATATTTTTGTTTGTTGATTTAACGCTATATAATTAATTATAAATAATTGCCTAGGCCTTAGCGTTGAGAAAATATGGTTCATCGATTGCATTATTTTGGATTTAATGCAGCTACTAGAATTATGTTATGTATATTCAATATTCTCATCGCTTCTAATCATTCCTTTTCGCGTCATCATCATCATCATCCCTTGTTGTATTTGGTCGCAGTAAAATTGTATATGTATGTATATAAAGCAATTATTTAATAATAATAATGCCCACCACACGCCACGCCTATTTCCACGCCTGCTTGAGCAATTTACGCGACGCTAAATGCTTAACAATCAACGAGCCCGATGTGAGAGCGACTAGCACTATGGAAATTAGTATATAGTCAAAGTCTTCTTTCAACAAATCGAACGTCTTCGAGGGCGCAACGCGGGTAACGAACAAATCTGCAATTAAAGGATACAATTAGGGCATCCCGATGGATAACTATAACGTTTAGTGCATACCCAAACCCGTGGCAACGACTAGACAGGTACTCTCCAGACCGCTGGGCGCAGTGTAAATGTTACGCAGGCGTGCCACCGTCTGGTTATAGTTAATATGGCTCTCCGTGGGCAAAGGCAACTCGGGTATATAGGGAATGGCCCCCTCTTCGCGTCCCTGGGTCGTGGAAGCAATGGGACGGCGAGGATCCAGCAAATGCCATGGCATTTCAATAATGGAACCACTGGCAGTGCCAATTAGCACATGCTTATTGGTAATTCCGCGCTCGGTGATTGTCTCGCGTAGCGCTTCGACAATTGCAGGTATGATATAGGATTGACGCTCCACGAGCGGCATGGGCGGTGCCTGCAGGGAGCTCCAGACGCTGCTGTTTGCCTGCCCCTTGCCCTCGTACAGTTCAATAGTGGCTATAAAATTAAATATATTTCGTATAAAATAATCAGATTAAAATGTTTTCTTTTTCACTTACTAATCTCTGTGCGTCGCACTTTCTCATTAAAGTACGAGTAAGCGAGCCAATTTTCCGCGTGTACAATGGACAATGGAGCGCGCACCTTGCGATGGGTCATCGAGAATATCACAGAGCCCGACACAACATCAACCAAATACAAATTAAGAACGGCTAAAGGAAAAACAATTATTTTTTAAATTAAACTAAATACTTTTGGCGCTGGCAGACCGAACTTACATTTGTGTGTGGCATCAGGGGCCTGGGTAACGAAGGCCACCAAATTGGGATTGATATATTTGTAGAGCACAGAACGATCGCCCAGCACACGGCCCTGGGAGTGGACATGTTCGATGGGATTCTTGCCGGCCACAGCAATGATTTGTTGCTCTGAATTATGACCGCCCAAGCGGGCATTCCAAATTTGTGTGCACGACAGTTTCTGTAGAGGAAAAATATTAAATTAGTGGATGATTCTACGCTCAGAAGTTGCAGTCACTCACTCCACCCGCATATTTCACAAAGTATCCCTCGAGTTGTGCGCTTTTCACATCAGCAGTGTACAGATACATTCCATTGGCCTGCAAAATATATTCATAGAGAGGGTCAAAGGTCACTTTTGGGACAAGATATGCTTTCACTTACCAATGGTGTGGCATGCTGGGGATACACATGCACCTTATTAGAGGCATCCAGTATCAGTATGCCCTTGACAAAGTCCTTTTCCGTCTCGGCCAGCAATGAGAGCTGTTTGATCTTAAAGTCGAGCTGCAGCAGGCCGCCCTCCGTTGCCTGTCCCGTGATGGGATTGAAGCGATACAGCACCCCATTGCCATTGATCTGTAGATAAATGAGAATTTATAATACATAATTCGAAGAGTTCTTTTAGGCCAAAACTTACAGAATTCTTGGCCAGAATGGCGCACAGGGGCTGCAGTGGAAAGTGCTTGGCCGTGCGCTGTACAATCAAACGCATTTGCTCGGCATTGTCGAAGCCATTCACTTTCGGTAGATAGAGCTGCCAGTGATGTTTGCCCGAGATGTTGTCGACGCCAAATATCTTGCCGTTGCGTGTGAGCAGCACGAGCATCTTGTGCAGGCCAAAGGAGTCGCGTACCAGACCCGCCCGCTGTGTATCCGTGGGCGGTGGACCCAGACCGATGACGTGCAGAAATAGGCTTCGGATTTGAACAGCCTGCGTGCTAATGCGACGCAAAAAAGCGCTGGCAATATCTCCTAATGAGAGAAAAGTCAACAAATTAGATAAAAGAGGCTCGTAAAGATGCAATTAAATAGAGATTGCGGCATATCTTACTGTCAAAACTTGTGGAATCCACTTTTGGTAGGCAATTTTCAGGATTAAACATTAAATAAACTAATTCTTAGCATTAAGTAAACGTAACCTACCAGCTTTGCCCTTCATTTCGCTCTCCAAAGTGCCCTCGGTATCGGCCAGGGGCAGATCCATGAACTGCGAATCAATGACATTGGCCAGCGCCTCCTCGCGTGACCAACGCACTTTTCCCTGCTGCACGGCCACAATGGACTCGGCGCTGGTGCTGAACACAAACATACAGCTCTTGCCATCGCCCTGGCGCTTCAGCTTGCAATCAAAGCTGTTTAACGTGGGAGTGCCAAAGTGCTCGGGGAACTGTAGACTCTGCTGCAACTCGGCAACGGGCGTGCAGTTATCCAAATACACAGCATTGATTTTGAGATTCTAAACAAAGAATTTAAATATTAATAAGCATAGAGCGTGGAATCTAGCATGAATAGGGGGGAACCTACTCCTGATGTGAGTTCCGCAGAGACCACAATTTTGCGATAGTTAAAGCTGCCTACAAGATAGCTGGAGCCCTGGAGGGCACGGCACACGGCCTGATTCACATTGACGCTCACGAGTTTGCCATCAACAATCACCACGCCATTGAGACCCTGTTGGGGAAATTGCAATTAAAAGTTAATCTTTCGCTACTCCTTCCAGTTCCAGGAATCCTTGTCCCTACCTCTACTGCCTGAATTGTTCCCTGAGGCTCAGTTTCCAGCGCTGTTCTTATCACTTGTGTGCTCTTTGAGACCAAATCCAAGCTAATCAACTGCTTGCCGTCCACACAAACGTAAAAGGTGCCGCTGAGGGTACAGCTTTCTCTTGTGATCCAAGAGGCCATGATCTTGCTGGTGCTGCCAGTGCTGTGGCCAGAGCTGGCAAAGTATGCGGTGACCTCGAGGTGGCTTCGCCAAGCCGGCACAATGTGATACAGAATTGAATTGCTATAGAACCAGACGGCATCCTGGGCCTTCTCCGAATTCAATGGATTTATGGACCACTCCCATTCGATTGTGCCAATATTGGTGTTCCAGCCACGCACCAGAGCCGGCGCATGGCCCTGCACGGTGAGCATATCGAATCCCAAGTTGGTGCCAATTGGTGCTGCGGCCGTATCGCTGCTGTCCACCGAGAAACCGCTCACTTGGAGCAGCTTAATGTCGCCGCGCGGCTTCTGTTCGAGCACCTGTCGCCACACAATGGCGCCGGTTTTCGGGCATAATAAGGCCACGACATCCTCATGAGTGCTGACCAGCAAACGCGGTTGAAAGTGATTTAAATCGACGCGAGATTGCTTCAGGGCTCCCACATGCACGCTTCGCCTGGTTATAAATTATGAACATACGACTCGTTACACAGATGGATGTGGTCAATGGTCAAATGAATGGGTTGTGTTGTGTCACTTACCAGTCGAATTTCTTAATCTGGTCCTCGTACAGCGCCGAGCAGGTGCTCAAAAGTAAGAGCGCTATGGGGATACCGGCTAAAACATTGATGCCTAGCATTTTGTGTGTCTTGCTGGTTTGCTTCCGACTGCCACAAGCACAAAAAATTTAACTACAAATGCGTTTTTATGTTATAAATTATAAAAAATCCACATTAATTCGTGTTTTCCGTCATGGCAAAGGGGGGTGGTAAGAACAGTGTGACCGCGGTTCGGTTAAAAATACCGGGAAATATACCGTCTCATTTTCAGAAAATACCGTAATTAAACAGAGGAAAATCATATTCCTTCATCTTGATATTCGATTTTATATTGCATTATAACTAATAGCTCCAGTGCTAAACAAATAATTTCATCCAACTGATGAATCAATTTTCTAAAATGTGCATAATTTTAAGGACTGCGTTTTATTGGACTTTTTATGAAATAAGAGTATAAGCAAAAAAGGTCAAAAAAAATTAAGAAGAAATTGGAGCAGTTATCGATATCAGTAAGTGTTGAACAGCTCCAGATTTTACAGCACTAACACAAAAACCACAACAAGCATTTGTCCACGATTTCTGGAAAAATCGCCAAGTAAATATATTTAAGCGCTAATAAATGTTCGAAAAGAAGAGCGACAAGGCCAAGGAAAATGAGCGTAAGCCGCGCGACGATGGCATTGAGCTGGAGAGCCACTTCATAATGCGTGTACCGAAGGAAATGGCCGACACTGTCCACGAAGCCATCCAGGCGGGGAATATAAAGGATAGATTATCCATACAATTGGATCAGGATCTGCGATACGGTGAGGTGCGGCTGGACGACCAGCTGCTCTACACGAAGCTCGTGGACCTGCCGACGGTTGTGGAGAGCTACAAGACAATTGACAACAAGAGTTTCTACAAATCGGCGGATATTTGCCAAATCCTCATCTGTAAGGAGGAGCCTGATGAGGAAACAGAGAAGGAGTCGCCCAACAAGAACAAGAAGAAGGAT